AGGAGAGGAAGACGATTGAACTAGTGTTGCAAGGAAGGCGAGCTTCGTAGTCACATGATCAAGAAAGGGTGAGTTGAGTGTCTGTTAGGTCGATTCTCACTAAACCGGTCCATCCGGCCCAAGAACAAGCATGTCCACCCCATAAGAGTTTCCGCCCAAGGGTCTAGTGGACCCCACTAGGAAATCCATTAAGGAAGGAGGGGGCAGCTAGGGTTGGAGAGAAATTTTGAATTAGGTATTTGAATTTATGTATTAAATAGGAAGAAATTTTTAGGGTTATGGTTATCTGATAATTTGTGGCTGATTTAGCGTCTTTGGTTCTTGACATCTTGGGAAAGCTTCATCTAGGGATTGGGAGAGATCAATCCTCCTCTCGAATTGAGGATCAATTGTATCTTGATATTTATTCTGTTAGTTTGATTTCTGCAATAAAAAGTACTATTTTGTTTATTTTTTCCATTGGATTTGTGAACTGTTCTTGTTGTTTTTGTCTCTATTGCTAGGGTTTACTTGAGACCTTCAAGTATTTCTTAACAAATTGCTATCAGAGCAGATTTTAGGACCTTTTGTGGGCTTTTTCTGTGAAAATCAGCAGCTGCTTTTTGGTCGGAGGAAGGAATAATTGATATTTTTTGGGTCAAGATTCATATTTTTTAACCTACAAAAATCTGGGTATTGATGGCGGCCAAGAAAGTGGACGCATTGGAAGAACACCTCGAAGGGGAGATGAGCCAAATGAAAGCAAAGGTGGAATATCAAATTTCATACATGGAAGACAGTTTCTAATCTCCATGAGATGGTGAAGAATGTATTAGAAAATCAAATTCAAATGGCGGCATCAAAGACAAAGGGGCCGGTGTGGAGGACTATGAATTCTGAATTTCATAGGAGGGAAAAATGATGTGGAGATTATGAGGAGAAAGGGGTAGGTATGGAGAGAGGTATGGTTATGGGGGGCATGAACCAAGGGGTGCTGGTTGGGAAAGAAAAGAAGGGGATTATGGTAGGAAGGGTGTTGATTTTGAAGAAAGGAGGGGAGAAGGCAAAGAGGGGTTTTAATTTGTTAAATTATAAATACTATTTAATATTTTATTCTAAATGTATTAAATTAATTTATTTCATTATTTAAATATTTTTAGAAATTAAACCAGCCAGTTTAAGGGAACCGGGACCTATTCACCAACGAGGTTCTGGTCGGTTCATCCCGATTTGATACAAAACTGATTTTCAAGTTAAACCAGACTGGCCTATCCAATCTGATTTTTATAATCTTGCATAATGTGAAAAATTAAGTAAAATATTATCCTAGGATTAGATTAGATATTTAAAGAATACTAACAAAAATATTTTTAAGAGTAAAATTCAAGATATAAAGATTTTGATTGTGCACGAATAAGCTAATGTTATGTGCAAAAAATAGCTGGTGAAATTAAAAATGTTGCATAAAATGTGTTTTAAGCATAAAAAAGAAAAGCCCCTAAATTTAAGAATAATTAATTATAGAATTAAAATGTGCAAGAAAAAATAAAAAATAAGAAGCTTTATTATAATATTAGTTTAAAGGTAAAAACTCAAAAAATTGAAAAAAAATATAAAGGGATCCATAAGGAATCTAAGAAAGTAATATATTATGTAAAGAATTTAGCTTTTAATGATTTATATAATAGATTAAATACAAAACAGAACAAAAGATATATGGATAAGTTAGCCAAGCAAAGATATAATAGTAATAATTTAGTTCAAGTGAAGTGCATTAAGGATTAAGATAAAATGTTGTTATTAGAATAATATATTCAACAAAGGTAGATAAGATATTTCAATAAACATTTCAATTAAGATTGCGAAAATATGATTGACTTTAATGACCTTAGCACCCAAAATAAAAATATATATTTTTATTTTTATTTTTATAGCGGTATTAATAAAATCGAAATTCGAAAGGATTTAAAAAAAATGATGTGTGAAAAAAACTATTGGGTCTGATGATATTCCAATAGAAGTGTGTAAAAGCTCTTAGGAGGTGTAGGAATTTTTTGGCACGAGAACTTTTTTAATATTATTTTGAAGACTAAAAAAGTGTTAGATGAATACAAAATGACAGTGGTAATTCATATTTAAAAAAAAAAAAGGTGATGCACAAAAGTGTGCAGATTACAGAGAAAATAAGTTAATGTGTCATACATTAAAACTATGCAGGAGAGTTATTGAGCATAGGTAGTGACGTGATACTAATGTCTCTCAAAATCAATTCCAAGAGTAGTGCTCTTGAGAGTTCTAGAAAATAAATGAGTCGTTGATGCTTATATTCAAGTCATTAAAAGATATATAAGCATGAGTTGTTATTTGTGTTCAAACACAAGGTGATTTGACCAAGTATTTTTCCATTTCAATTGAATTACACCAAGGATTAGTTTTAAGGCCATATCTATTTGCTTTAGTCATAGATGTTCTTACTGGACATTTGCAAGAGAATGTATCCTAGTGTATGTTGTTTGCTTATGATATTCTTCTGGTCGATAAGACTAAAGGAGTTGAAGGAAAACATGAATTATGGAGGTCAACCATAGAATCTAAATTATTTGAGTAGATATAAACTAAATACATGGAGTTTAATTTTAGTAATAATAGATCTAGTGTGGGATTGTGAATTTGGGCAATCAAGTCATTTAAAAAAAGTACACGTCTTAGCTATCTTGAGTCTTTATTCAAAGTAATGATGGACTAGATGGGGATATTATTAATGGAATTTAAGTTGGATGGTCGAAATGGAGGAATGCATCAGGCATGTTGAGTGACAAAAAAGTATCCCTCAAACTTAAGGGCAAATTCTATAAGATGGTGGTGAGGTTTGCAATTTTATGGCACAAAATGTTGATCATTAAAAGACAATCATAAAATTAAATTAAGTGTTGCAAAGATGAGGATGCTCAAGTGTATGAGTAGCTTCATGCTTAGAGACAGAATGAGAAATGAGTATAACATGAAAATATTGGAGTAACTCCAGTGGCACATAAGATTATAGAGTCTCCTTAAATGATTTGGACACAAAAAACCTCAGCTTTCAAAAAGTACTAGACATATTAGAGAGTAGATGGTTTGGACACAGTTAAGAGAGTAGATGTACTAGATTTAGCCTATGTTAAGAAAGGTAGAGGTACACCTAAAGAGACTTGGTTAGAAAATATTAAAAATGATCTTTTTTATTAGATTTAAATGAAAATTCGACTCTTAACAGAATATAATGGAGAAAAATTATTAATATAGATGATCTCATATAGTGGGATAAAAGCTTGATATTTTTGTTATTGTTAAAAAAAGTAGTATTGATATGAGTAAAGTGTGTACTTGGGCACTCACCCAGATGTAACTATAAGGATTTTTGAAAAATTTCTAACTTTTCAACTCGCTTACAACTAAACTATGAGTGAGCACGTAGCTCAGTGGTTCATAAGCAATTAGCTAATTCAACTACAATGTAACTCGGTGGTGACCAGATAAATGGAATTTCAAAAAGAGCTAGGCAACTCGACCACGAGGCGAATATCACCTAACTCGGCCTTAATGCAGGTTGGACGTTAGTAAGAAAAGCTAGTTAAAAGAACTCAGCAATTTTGAATATGTAATTGGATAATTGAATAAATATCGAGTTAACTCGACATTAATAAAAGCCCATCTAAGGAATTAAAAAAAAGCTTAATAATTGATATTTGAAAGAAAGCTTCGCACTGAAAAGATTATGATTGAACTTGCCATAAGAGTAAAGACTCCTGGACTCAATGTGAGTGTCATCTGATTTATCAATTGTAAAAAGCAATTGTCTTGTAGTATTATGTGCAAGGGTACGACATTGTTATCATCATTATCTGGTACTCACTTTTAACACTGCTCACATCATTTTCACGGAAATATGCAGCAGTAGGCTGCAAGATGTAACAAAAGGTGGCTTGACTAAGGTTGGAAATTTAGTAGGGTTAGTGGTAGGTTTTTGGTGCTTGAATTTGAATGACAGTTGGTTTGGCAAGGTGTAGAAAGTTTTGTTGGGTTTATATGTGAGGGAGCAGATTTTTTGGAAGGTTAAAAGATTGTTCTGGATTCAAATTTGAAGCTGCAAGTGTACATATTTGAAACAAAGTAGCTGATTGGTTAGGAATGAAGTTAAGAGACTGTTGGAGGAAAGGGGGGGATGCTATGAGATGGATGGTGTGCATGGGGCATGCATGGGGAGAAAAAATGCTAATATTTATGAACAAAAGGAAAGATCACGGGTAGAAAGAGAAAAGAAGCTGAGAAAAAAGGCACCTTAAGAACTCTTAAAAACAACTTAAAACATAAAATTCTTAAGATTTAAAATTTATTGCATACGATAAGGAAAAAAATGCCATTATTATAATAACTTCTGCTCTATACCAACTTGAAAGACATCTCAAGTCTGACATTGGAACAAGGACATCACATCTCATAAGAGTTCTAAGATTTCCACTTGATCAAGACATCACGTCTACGACACAGAATTTTCCTCATTCATAAATCATCCAACAACATCTCAAATCATCTTAACGATCCCTATTTAGTAGAATAGCAATTGACTAAAATAACTACAACAAAAATAAATAATAAACTTTAGATGAGATAATCAATTAACAAAATAGGTTCAACACCCTAAGGATATAAATAAACATAAACATAACCAATAAATAGATGAGCATTATCAGGCGCCATCATCAAGCTCATAGTGAACAATTAAAACCCAGCCTCATGTCCCAAATTCTTTTCTATCTAGCAATGTAAAAAGCCAACTGGGTAAAGGCAATGTTAGGTCGATAGTTGAAATCATGGTCAAGAGCCAAGTCACAATCCAATATTGAAATTTTCTTTATAAATTTCATGCAATCTATTCTAAGTTTTGTTAAGGAGACTTGAAGAAAATAAACTTATCATCGAACCACCATAAAATCAAGATTAAAATGATTTTAAGTTGTAGCACTAAGAAGCCAGAGAACCTTTAACCCTATGCAGAACGTGTGTAGCTTAGATCCCCATTGTCTAGCAAATTTTGACTCGCTCAGATAGCGGGAAGCAACAGAAGCAACAAGAGAAGAGTCTAGTCCACCAGACAACAGAACACCGAATGGTACATCAGTCATGAGCCTCTTTACAACTGCCTGCATGATAAAGGAAATAGAGTAAACAACAGACCAGTATGAAAGAAAATAAGTAAAAACGGTTCATCAAATTAAATTTGAGACACAATACCACAACACTAAAATGAATGTACTCAACTGGTAGTATCCCAAATCATACTGAGAAGCACAGGGATATTACAGTTGTGGAAACTCTAGGGAGCATAAAATAAAGTTATAGATGGAAAAAGGCTTGAGTCACATCACAGAACTCTGAGAGTAAAGTTGATTTTATACCAGCAAGATCAATGAACACTTTTTTGCATTAAGGCAATCATTTAAAACTAAAGACCATATTCATGTACACATGATTCGCAAGCTGATCGAGTTGAACAAAACAACAAGAAAGGCAACATGGTTTAGCAGAAGGCAAACTCAAATGTCCCCAATCCATCATTCACCAAATGAAGCGCTTCCAGAATGCTGAAAATGATCCATTTGTGACACATGGAAACAACTGACACACAATAGATAGAATATGCGAAAGCATTTATAAATAATTTATAAAAATATAAATAAATAATAAGTAAATAAAAGAAAAATACTAAATAATAATAATAATAAACCAATCAAAAATAAGTTAAATTTATATAATAATACTAATAATAAATGTTTAAGATATATATATTCTTCTTTTTACTTTACGAACATGCTGCCAACCTCATGCAAGGTGTGTGGAATGGCCTCGCCACACTGTATAATTCTCATGCATGTTTTTCTTGATGCAATAGGGAGTTTATTTTGCTTTTATATGTGCTACATTTGCGAAGGGAACTCCTAAGTATGTTTGGACACATGCATGTTTTGCTTGATGCCAAGTGGACTTTATTTTGTTAAATATACAGTTATATGCATTTGTTATTTGATTTGATGATAACAAATTCAATGTGGTGTCATCTAATAGTTTGCTAAGTGTTTGCTTTCAGAGATCGTCATTTTACAGTAACCATCGAGATGATGAGAAGAATTTCTACCTAATCGAGATGATGGGAAGAATTTACTAGCTAATTGAGGATGTGACTAAATGGGGGAATTCTAAAATTTGAAGACTGAAGACTCCAAGACTTGCGGTATAACTAAGTGTTTGATGTTTAGTTTATTTGATCAAGTCGATTTACCAAAAGGTCACAGAGATGATGTACACATAATAAAACAATTAATTTATTTAAAAGTTAGTTTCAAAAATAAAAAAAATCGTTCTATAATTTTTGGAAAATTATTTGGGTTGATTTTGTATTTATCACATTATTATGCTACTTTTCTTAATGAGAAAATTAATTTAAATATTATTTATCTTTGTGATCATACGGTTAATAGGCACATCTTTTGATGTTGATCACTCTTATGGCTTAACAAGTTCATTTGATTTCATGTCTTTCTTTTTATTCATTAAAAATGCTATGTAAATTATTTCACTATTTTCTTAAGGAAAACAGTTCGCTTCGCATATCTATGAAATTTCTAATCATGTGTTTTGCAAGTTGGCAAATATACTTGATTTTACTTCGCTTACTCACTTCATCAAATTTGTCAAAATATGTAACCTTGAATCTTTTAATCATTAAATACATGATTATTTAACACAAGTAAAATAATTAGTATTTGATTTTATCACCATAATCTGAAACACAAACACACACACATATATATTATGTCCATACACACCCCTTTTCTTCTCACAAGAGGAGAATAACATTTTTACTCCTATGAATCTTTTAATCATTAAATGCATGATTATTTAACACAAGTAAAATAATTAGTATTTGATTTTATCACCATAGAATCTGAAACACAAACACAAACACACACACATATATATATAAGCATTATACTTAAATCTTTCACTTATTTAGGTTATATGCAACTAGTCAAGCCCTCATACTAGCTACAAAACCTAAAAGATAATTGGAGCTAGTCCGGTTTTGTTGACCTACATGTATGCATCATAAAGAGGATTTTATTTGATGACAAATCAAATGTCAAGGTGTAGGTTCTCTCCAAACATTGCAAGCTTTATTTCTTTTCATAAAATCATGTATCATGACAAAATTGGCATGAAATGCGGGAACTCGCGTTAGTAAAGAACTTGTGGATGTTTCTAAAAGCTTTGTTTGAATGTGTGAAATGTGTTCAATATTGTTTGAAATGATATATGGCTAGTTTGTTGTAGGATTTAACATAAATCCTCCCAAAGATTTATTTCGTAAATCCTAGGACAAGCAAAACCTACTGTTTTGTGTATATTGCAAGCTTATAGAGATATCAACTATGTTGCACTGATACGGATACGGCGACACGGATACGACACGATACGGATACGGGATACGTCAATTCTTAAAAATACAGGATACGGGTACGGCGCAGACACGATATTATAATTTATAATCATACATAAAAATTAAGAAATCAATCAAAGCATAATATTTGAACCAAAAAAAATGACAAGAACATCATTTGTAGCCTTGTAACTTATAATATCAAAATATAAGTAAGCATTAAATGTCTAGTACAACAACAAAAGCATAAACATAAATTATCTAGCACAAGGAGTTTCAATTATTCAATAGAATGAATGATATAATTATCTTCTTCAATGGTTTGTCTTTGAACTTCTATATCATCTTTAATAAATATCATAGCTTCTAATTCAAGCTCATCAAGTGAAAGATTAGTAACTTTTAATATTTTCATATCATCAAGAGACTCAAATCCATCTCAGAAATAAGAGAATCTTGCTCGCAACTGCGGAAGTAAATACGACACGTCTTTTTTCTTCGGATTCTTTTTGTTTTTCAATGGACACGCGTATCGGATACGTGTGTCCTTTTGAAATTAAATAATATTTTAATTGGATACGGCTTTGGCGTATCCGACACGCATCGGTGGAGTATCGGAGGCATATCCGTGTATCGGTGTATCGGATACAGCACGCCATCATAAATAGGTGTATCGGTGCAACATAGGATATCAACAAGGGACCAATTGCTCTTTTGTGTAAAATTGTTAAAATTGGAAATCATCTTCACACTTCTGATAAACCAAATCATGCTAAAGTTGATTCAAATCTCCTCTAAAAGCTGTAGATATATTTCCTATCTTATCATGAACTCAAAGAAAAACTTCATAGGTCTCTTGCCAAGATCATTAAATTTTCTAAAACTTATAAATATCCTAAATATGCTCATTTAATTCTAGGTGCTTGTGGAATTAATTTGGAGCGTTTCATGGGCCCTCGAAGACCCTATTCAAAAGCCCATATCTAAATACTCCATCACACTTAGAAATTAACTAAGCTTATTTTTGTATGAATTGCAAATTGAAAAGATCAAGCATAATGACATCCTAAGCGATTTAACAAATCCTAAAAGATTTACTATTCTCTTAAGCTTCCAATGAGTTAAATCATGCCAAAATTGATTTAAAAAACTCTCCAAAGCTTTAGGAATCAATCTTTTCTTTCCATGAGTCCAAAACATCCACGAAGGAATGGGGAATTATCTTTCTCATGCACATTCTCCTTCAAACTTGGCGCTTAGAGCTTCCTCAAAGCTCCAAGTTTTATGTTGCATGAGTTCTAACAAATATAAAGAGCTTTCTTTCAAACACTCTTTTCTCCTCATGTAAAATATTTTGAAGCCTCCTCAAAACTCTAAATATTTCATTACATGAATCATCAAGATTTTAGGACCAAATCCTAAGTCACTTATTCGTTTGTTGATGACACAAAATTAGCGAATGAACCTTTTTCCCCTCTCATGGATATGATGATTTGAGGTTCCTCAAAGCCTTCAAACATGTCACTGCATGAGTCTTTCAACCTTAGGGCCAAAACCTAGGTTCATTCCACTTCTTGTTTGTTGAAATACAAAATCAACAAACAATCATCTCTCCTTCTTCATATGCTACATGTGGAGCCTTCCCAAAGCTCCAAATGTCCTATACATAAATCTTTGGATCTTAGAACTGAACTCTAAGTTATCCATCTCCTTAGTTGATACATAAAGTCAACAAATGAACAATTCACTCCCATGAATGAATAATTTGGAGCACCTCAAAGCTCCATACATTTCACTGCATGATCAATCAACCCCCCAACCCCCACCCCCCCCAATGTTTGTTGATACATAAAATCAACAAACATTCACCTTTCTATCCCTTCATGCATGACCTTTAGAGACTCCTCAAGATTCCAAATATTGTGTTACATGAATATTTGGATCTTAGAAGCAAAATCTAAGTCCTCCACCCTTTGTTTGTTGATACATAAAATCAACAAACAATCATTTATACATCCCTTTCACGTGTGATATTTGGAGCCTCCTCATGTTTCTGAATATTTCATTGTATGACTCCTAACAGGCCTTAGGAGTTACCACCTATCTTCCTCATGTTTTGTATTATGGATTTCTCTAAAAATCCTAAATATATCATGTTTCAAGCTTTGAAAACTTTAACCAAACTCTAAGTTTTCCTTTCCCTTTTTGTTGGAGCACAAAACCAACAAATAATCTCTTTTCTCTTGGCTTTCAAAGCTCACATAGAGAGTCAATGACCTCTAAAGAGTCCAAAGAAAGCATTAACAAATCTAGATCCCATTTAGCTTGTTCATTGACACAAAATCAATAAATAACCATCATTCTTTCTCTCTTACATGATGATTTAAAGTCCTCCAAGGCTTCAAAGCATGTCATATGAATCCATTGAGCTAAAGACCAAATCTCAAGTTCTTCCCTCTCATCTGCTTAGCAACAAATTAGGCAAATGAACATCTCCCTTTAAGCACCAAATGTTTAAGGGTATTCATTGCATTTGCATTTTCTCCTCTCTTTTCTAAATATCAAAATTGTAAAGAGATCCCTCGTCCTCCCAAATTTTATAGGAAAAGCTTCTCTTTCACCCAACCCAAGATTAGGTGAATAAGCACCTCTTTCTTATAACACCTAAAAGTTCAAGGAGATCTTCTATTATTTACAACTCCTA